CCATCGCCCATCACCGGATACGGTCCTTCTGTGGGAGCTGCCTGTGGGTTGGGGCCATCACCTGGTTCCTAGGAGGGCCTCCCCTGCCACGCACATTGGCTGGGACCGCTGCTGGGCAAGTCCTAACCCAGTTCCCTTCCACCCCGCACCTATGACAGACACCTGATGGCGGTCCCCTTTGCGGAGCGCCCCGTTCCCAGCCCCGGCCCCTGTTGCCCCGTCCCAAGCCACCTCAGCCCCTTCCCCATTGTTGGCCCCACCTCCCCTGTTGGTAGGTGGGTGGCCCGTTCCAAGGGCCGGGCGGGTATATGGGTGGTCCCTCTGGGGACTCCCCCGCCACCATCTGCTTTCCCTGCCCTTTCTTTTTAGTTTCATTACCCTTTCGCCTCGCTTCGCCCACCTGCAGCTTCAACAACTGGGTCTGTAGTTCCTTAAGGTCATCTGAGACTTCCTGAATCGCATGTGTGCGAATATGGAGGGTTCCTCCTGTGACCTTAATCACGGGGGACCCATGGGCCGGGGGCGCGCATGCCGGGGAAGGATCCCCACAATCTATTGGTGTCCCTTTTGCGGGAGGGACTTACACTCCTCCTTTTCTTCACTATGGAGGTGGTCTGTCCCTTGCCAAAATATGGCTAATCACGCCCACACTCTCCTTTCCTTCTCATGTATCTCTTCCTCTTTTTTCCACTTCCCTTCCTGCACTATGCTGGCTCTCGCCCTCTGCCCTGCGGCTTCATCCCTCTGACTAGCATGCTCTCTCTCCTTTTTCCACAATAGCTCTCCCAATGAGCGCCTGTCTCCTATCTGTTGTCCGGCACCACAGACCACTGCACACATACGCTCCCAGGCGTCAGCTACCTCCTTATCCTTATCTTCAGCAATTGTTTTTTCTATGGCTGCTTTTACCACCTGCATCTGTTTAGCTAGCGGCTTCCATGCTGCATTTTTCGGGGGCGCCCATCCCCCGTCATCTAGCTCCCGATCAAACTCGCATTCCATTTTTAATCTGTCCTGACTGTTTAGATCCCTTGTCTAGCAGCCCTTCTGCCTCCGGATGTGGGTTCAGCCACCCACACTTAGTACACCTCCTTATCTTAGTCGAATGTCCTACTAACTAACACCACCAATACATAAATCAACAACTTTACAAACAACAAGACTATATTCAAAGCAGCTTACTGTTGTGTCCCTCTTGAACAGGGCACGCCCCACGAGCTCAATCCCAGCCAAACAGGCCCGCTCCCAGCCGAGACCCCCCCGATTCCCAGCCGAGACCCCCCCGATTCCCAGCAATGCCAACTTGGAAGGGGGTGTTCTGTACGCACAACTGAGACAACGCAGGTGGGAGTCAGCTTATCGGCCGCAATACCGGTCTGACTCGACCAGGGCCGGCAAAATAGCCTTCAGGCGTCACCCACCCTGGTGAGAGTCCAAGCCAGGAACGTTCTCAGAACTGACCCTAGGCGAGGTCCTCCTCAAAAGTTGTAATGACCGCCTGAGGTACCCGCAGGCCCTGCCCTTAATGAGTCAGCGGGTGCGGCCGGGCTGGCGCGCTTTTGGGTGTTCAATTGCTGAGAACTCCCCTTCGGTTCTGACAAACTGTAAGACCGCGAGCAGCGACAGCCGAGCCACAGGCAAGTTCGACCATCAGAGAGCGAGCGGCGAGCACCCTGAACAGGAAGAACCCACAACCTTGCTCACACACAAATCAGCACAACGACACACAAATAGCTTTGAGACTCCTCGTCTCGAGACTCCAACCTAGTACTTTTGGGTTTCTAACCCAGGGACTCCAACCCGGTACTTTTGGGACTTTAACCCAGGGACTCCAACCCGTTTTAGACAGGGGGACCTTATTCCCTCGGCCAATTTAGAGTTTGGGGTTCCTCACACCCAGCTTTTCTACCGCTCGTCAGCAAGTAGTGGGGTTGCCAAAACAAGGACAATGCGGGGGTCCCGTACCCTCCGCTCCTTAAGGTCCTACTTCACTGCGGGGGTCCCGTACCCTCCGCTCCTTAAAGTTCTACTTCCCTGCACACAATGCCTGCACACAATCCCTAGACACAATGCATACACAACACCTAGACACAGGACATATACAACATATGAACACGGTACATGCAACCTTCGTGTTAATTTACCGACGGGCCACTGGACACTTCAAACTGCTCAATTTGACATAGCCAATGTGCAGATTTTGATATAACAGGCTCTGCTTACCTCTTCTAATCGGCGCCTCGCAGTTCTCTGTGTCCAAGTGGGCTGCGTCAACACTTAGCCGAATCCTGCGAATCTCCTGGGGATCCCGGACGAGCCCCCAAATTGTTGGAGTACGCCGTCTCCACCGGGTTAAGAGATTCACAGCTGACACGTGGAGAAGTTGCAGGTCACCAGTTTATTCTCTGACAGATT